CCCCACAGAACCCACCTCCCTCCTCAGAACCCACCTCCCTCCTCAGACCTTGTCTTCCTCCACCCCTACAGGCTGTCCTGGGTCCCCTTAGAAATCCTGTCCCCTCCTGCATGTGCTTTCTGCATGTCACCAGCCCCCATGCTTATCTCCCAGCCCTCCCTCCCTGGCAGGCTGCCCTCCCAGACTGTGTCCCCCGTTCACTGGCTCCTGCTGGACCATTCCTAGCAGCAGTGACTGGTGAGCAGCACCCCCTGCACACTCATGCTCAGCGGTGGGTCAGTTCCCTCACCACCTTGGCACTCCTGCCCTTCCAGCACCGTGTCCAAGCAGAGGAAGAACGTCATCAGCTGCGTCACGGTCCATGACTCCCCCTACTCGGACTCCTCCAGCAACAGCCCCTACCCGGGGCAGCAGCGGGCCGGCCACAGTGGTGCCCACGCCTTCGACAGCAAGGGCGGCCTAGACGGCCACTGCCCCGGGAACCCCCGGACCATCATCGTGCCGCCCCTGAAGACCCAGGCCAGCGAGGTGCTGGTGGAGTGTGACAGCCTCGCACCAGGTAATGGGAGGACGGGCCACTCGGGTCCTGATGCTGCTTGTCCAACTAGGCTGAGAACTAGAAATCGCTTGCCATCCTGTCAACTCCAGCTCACGTGTTCGAGCAGGACTGCCCTCCACACGGTTTTCAGTGGTTTGGAAGTAGGTTGCCAGGCCTTTCTTCTGAGGTGCCTCTGAGTGGGCTCAAATCTCTAACCTTTGAACCACCAAAAACCACCAACTGCCATCAAGGTGATTCCAACTCATAGCCACTCTAGGGTTTCCAACAAGGTTGGCAGTTCAAACCCACCAGCCATTCGTCAGAAACCCCTATACAGGGTCGCTGTGAGTCTGAATTGACTCGATGGCACTTAACAACACCACTGCCACCAATCTTCAGGGAAGCACTCGGTCTCATCTTTCTCCCGCCAAGCGACTGCTGGGTTTGAGCCCCTGACCTTTCAGTTAGCAGCTGAGTGCTTAGCCCCCACGCCACTAACGCTCATTTCTAGAAGACCTGCATTGTATCTGGAATAAAATGTTTTAATTACCCAAATGACTGAGACGTCCTGAGGAACAGTCCCACACAAAGCTATGCTCGGTGAAAGGAGCCATGGCGGCGCCAGAACGTGCTCCTCGGACACAAGACGAGGCAGGCACTCGGCTTCTGTAACGATGCCAACCTTGGGAAGCCCGTGAGCTTGCTGTGAGTCCGAATCAGCTTGACAGAGGCTTAATAAGGGCTGCGGCTTCGAAAGCAGCCAGTGCCATTGTCCCTAACAAGATTGATGCTCCCCTGGGAGGGTGGCATTCAGACTTCCTAGTGACGCCTGCACATCCAGCCTTCCTGTTTCTCAGAACAAATCCATGCCCTAAATGCAGAATCTCCTCAGGCTTGGAACAATTCAGGAGGGTTGTCCTCACCTCCTGGTGCTCAACTGACCTGCGGCGGCCACACACAAGCTGACTGCAGCCGTCCCCAAGGGGACTCGTAGTGACAAGGAGCCTATGATCTCCCTGGAGGAAGGCTACTTGTCTGACCCTAACCTTTAACCTTCCTGTGCCTTCAGGTCAGGGAGGGTCCTTGAGTCATCCCCCCAACACACACACCACACACCACCCACTGCAGCCCTGAACGAGACCCTGAGGAACACAAAGAACATGCCTTCTACCCTCTTACATTCCCCTTAGAATCCCAGTGTCCCCAGAAAGTGTGGGAAAGATTAGACGTCCAGCGGGAGCCAAAGGAATAAGTGCATTTTAGTCCCTCACTTTGCAAACACTTGACCTTCCCGAGTGTTCCGTCCCTGCCTCAGATGGTTGGAGTGACCCTTCCAGGGAGGCTGTGGCTCACATCTCCCACTCCCAACCCCCATCCCGCTTCCTTTTTGTCCTTGGGGACCCAGCCACCCTCTCGTCCCATGAAACACTCAGAGCCAAGTAAGGCACCACCACATCTGGGCTGGCTGTAATCGGAATGCCTTGGGGTGTGTTCCTTCCAGAAGTCTCTTCCAGGCAACGAGATGCCACGGCTAACCAGCGGCCTGTCCCTCTCCCAACAGTCAGCAGCGGCCACCATTCGTCCTTCTACAAATCCAAGTCCTCCAGCAATGTGACCTCCACCAGCGGCCATTCTTCAGGGACCTCGTCTGGAGCCATCACCTACCGGCCACCTAGGCCGGGACCATACTTCCAGCAGCAGCCTCTGAATCTCAGCCAGGTGAGCCCTCCAGTGGTCCCCAGAGAAGAGGTCAGCTTAGCAGACCCTCACCCAGCTCCCAAATGGTGACCTCAAGCCTCCTTCTGCTTGGGGAGTCTGGTCTTGGTCCCTTTGATGGCCTCTCAATGCCCTGATGCCAGACTAAACATAGAGGAGAGGGTGGCTCACCTGTGGAATGAGGTGCTGGCTAGCCTAGCAGGCTATGGACACAGGAACAGGCCTGGGTGGCCTATGTGTGGGGTGAAATGTTGTCCCAGGCCAGACCACAGGGTCAGACCTGGGTGGACCACATGTGAGGTGCGACGTTGCCTCAGATCAGCTGGCCCAGGACACAGGTCTGGGTGAACCATGTGTGTGGTGGGATGTTGTCGCAGCCTAGCTGGACCAGAATGCAGGGACAGACCTGGGTGGACCACATGTAGGGTGGGACATTATCCCAGTGCAGATCTGGAACCACGTGTAAAGTGAGATAATGTCCCATTCCACCCAGCCTGGGACAGACAGGCCTGCAGTCTGAGGGAGGCAGGTTTACTGTTGAATTGCTAGGAGGGAGGCCCAGTCAAAAAGGAGACTTGCTCCAGGCCTAAGTGGATTGAAGCATGTCTCTTCACTCAGGAGCAAGCAGGGCTGGGTGTGAAGAGTCTCCTCTGGAGGGAGCTGCTTTGCCCTGAATAGGGGATGTGAGCTTGAGAGTCTCCCGAGGTGGTTGCGGGGAGACTGTGTGGCCTAGGTGAGTGGAAGGCTTTCCTGGTGCCAAGTGTCAGGGTGTGACGTGAAAGGACAGCTTCCTGTGAGGGACACCTTGCAGGGGTGTGTGTTTGGGGCACAGTCCTGTCTGGATGTTGCAGCTGCCCAGCTTGACCAGGTGTGGTCCTGCCTGATGGAGGAAGGCAGTGTGGGGCCCTCTGTCCTGTTAGGTCTCACCTCTGCATGCAGGGAACAAGTCTTCCCATCTCTCTCCCCACCGCCCCCCTGCTTCTTCCCTTCTCTTCCTCCCCTTCCTTCCTCTCCCCTCCAGCCCCTGACCCCCTCTCTCTAGTTCCTCCTCCGCTCCTCTCTGCCCTGGTCCCCCACCTTCTAATTCCCCCCACCCATCTTCCTCCCCCATGCCCCCCAGACCTCAATTCCCCCACCTCCCCCCAGATCTGCTTCTGATCCCCTCTCTAGCTCCTCCTCTCCTTCTCTCCACCCCCATGTCCCCCACCTGTCTCCCTCTTCCATGTCCCCCAACCCTCCTTCTCCTACCTCCCCCCCAGGAACTGACCCAACCCCCTCTCTCTCTAGCTCCACCTCTCTTCCTCTTCACCCCCATAACCCCC